TTAATATATTAATTTCATTAGAAATTAAATTGTGTTGGGTTTTATCCTTTTAAAATTTGGAAATGTAATTATATTAAAATAATAAGGGAAATTAATAACGAGGGTTGTTTTTTTTTTTTAATTTTAGGGTATCGTCGGGATATTGCCAGAATATTACCGGAAATATGTAAGTTATCTTGTTTTATCTTGTCTTGTCACTATTATTCCTTCTACTGCTGCTACTGCTCCTACTCCTGCTACTGCTGGTTCTTCTGATCCTGGTGCGGCCGAATCGAAAAAGGAAAAGGAGAGGCCTCTATTACTACCAAATTACGTGTATTATAGGAGCCGCACGTACCAATCGTCACTAACCGGGCAGCCGCACGTACCAATCATCACTAACCGGGCGATCGGGGTAACAACAGCCCTGCATACTTAAGGCCAACGACCAACATTTACCTTATCAAAATAAATATACCTAGTAATTAGGGTAAAATTTATGTCATATTATATTTTTATTAAATTAATTTAAAATAATAATAACATAAATATAATTTCCACAATATAATTCCTAATTTTAAAATTATAAAAAATATATAAATATACCGAACATAATAAAATAAATAATTGCTAATATATCTAGTATATAATATCCCATGCTAATTTATATTAAATAATATTAATTTTTGTAATTTCCAGAATGCGCAGTATTCCATGGTAATTTATATTTCAAAAAGGTACGATATTAATTTTCCCAATTCAATATAATAATAATATAATTTGTGTCGTTAAAATTTACATCTTCAGCTTAGGATTAAAGTTATTACTAAGTCGCATGTGGTTTTTTGGCCAATTTTATTAGATTTATAAATTATAATTTCCGTATAATAAATATATTTAAATTTAGAGCGAATATAATCAAAACCATATTTTTCAAACATAAATTAGACGCCGCACGCATCGACTTCCACAATTCTTTCCTGCAGCAAAATATCAAAACGCATTGAATTTCCAAGTGGAGAGTAAAAAAACCTGAAGCATAATCCTCCGCCCCCCCGGCTAGGCCCCCCACACGGTTGCACTTTTCAGACCACACTTTACGCGACATTTTTACGCTTGGCACTGAAAAACTTTACGCTCCACAAACAGCACTTTACACATTACGCTCTACACACTACACTACATTTTTCTTTCCACTTCACACTTTGCACTTAACACTTCACACTTTACACTTGAAAACTCACACTCTACAGTCTACACTATACACTTGACACTTCACACACCACACATGACACTCTACACCTTACATTGCTGTTTCTATGCACTCTACACTTCGCGGTGTGCACTATACACTTCATACTTGACACTCCACAGTCCACACTTTACACTGTACACTTTAGACTCTACACTTCCCATTCCACACTCCGCACTCTACACTTGACACTTTACACTTCACACTCTAGACTTTACACTCCACAGTCGACACTTTACACTTGACACTCCGCACTCTACACTTTACACTCCACACTCTGCACCTTACACTCCACAGTCTGCACCTTACACTCCACACTCTACACTTTACACTCCACACTCTACACTTCACACTCCACACTCGACAAGTCACACCACGCTCTACGACACGTCCGAAGTGCTACGCCTGCCACGCAAAAGCAAGATGGACACATCCAAAGTGCGGTTCCTGCCACCTAAAACGCAAGTCATCTACTAAAAACCTTGCAAAGGTACGAGTATTGCGCCCTTCATGCAAAACGACTTCCGACACTTTTGCAGACACGTGCGAGTGTCAGGAAGTGCCACGCCTGCCACGCAAAACGAAACATTCCAACCTGCTTCGGCGCCTTCGACAAGGAGAAGTTTTTCAGCTTCCTCCATAGACACGGCGACGGCAAAAGAAAAACAGAGAATCGAGACGAGACATGTTGCAGCCTCAAAACAAGCATTCCGTGCGAGACTTCCTCAAATTTTCATTCTTTGTAGCATCAAAATCGACGTTTTTCTAGGAGTTTTGTCATGAACCTCAAAATTTGCTACCTCAAAATCAATGTTTCGTGCGATGCATCCGTCGATTTTCATCACATCTCACAAAATAATACCACGCCTGCCACGGAATTTGCACCTGGTCACCACTTGACGCAGCCCTGACAATGCGATTCGCAAAAAAACACGCAACACGACGCGACACATCTGAAGTGCTGCGCCTGCCACTCAAAATGACGATGGAGCCCTCCAAAGTGCTGCACCTGCCACGAAAAATTCAACTAATCTTTCGACACGTCGTAATGAAACATGTTGGATGTCACAGCCACGCCTGCCGCGAGAAACGAGGCTACGCGACGTTTGAAACCTCCAAAAGTGATCACTTTTGCAGAACTTGCCATAGGCACGGCCAGAGCGACCTTTGCTAACAGTTGCCGATTGTTGCCGACGATTGTGGACTGTTGCGGACGGTTGCGGTCGCAGAAACGGCGTCGAGCGAACGCGTCTCCATCCCCAGACCCGCAAAGTTCCCAAAGTAAAACGAGAACCCTTCGCTACGGTATTCGGGAATAGATAAAAAACATCTAAATTTAGAAATTCGTACATAGAACGCTTGTAAGGAGCAGAATAATGTGTAAGTAGTGGAGTCGCTGGGCTCTGTACAAATGGTGAAAGGTTGAGTTGGTTGGTGATCTAGGGGTAGTTAACTAATTAATTGCATCGGTCATAAATCAGAAGCTTTGAATAGTTCTCATTTAAAAACATCTTAAACAACAGGATAAGTCAATATAATTGAGGCATATTTCAAAGTTGTTGTTTTTTGATACAACTTTTTGCACTATCTATGGACAGGTCGTGCTAAGGGATTTGAAGTCTTCACCTGAGGCACAAATCTCATATCTCATCCTTCCAGCCTTCCAACCCCATTTGACGCTATATTTCCCTTCCAAACGGGTTTCGCACTGACGGCAGGCGTTTAACTCGAGTCCTGGCAAGGTTCATACGAGTGATCAACTCATACAAGTATTTGTTACATATTGTTACAAGTATCAAGCCATGACACTGTATCACAGAGATCACAGTGCATGTCGAATTGTTTGACATCCAGCATTCGGTCCGTTGCGGCAGCTGGAGTCTACCTTTGGCCCGCGAACCGCGCCTCAATCTCATTCGGCTCAAACAAGTGTGCACTGACTCTAACTTTGCATATCTTTGCATTGAACGGAAGTTTTCTATGAAAATCTTTTCGTGAGCTGAAAGCATGCCGCTCTGCATTGGCACGGGCCTTCTGCCCTGGTCTACTTCGATTGCCTGTCTGATCAACTTTCCGAATACGCGCTAGAAGCATCAACTTCCCTGTCTTCCTTGCAGCTGGGAGCGTCGCAACCAGTATGCACTTCCTGAGAAACACACATGACTCACATGACAGTTAATACATTGCATGGAGCAAAGTCAATGAAAAGTCAGCATTACTTGTGCCTGCTGGGTCTGCTTTGGCCTCGCCAGTTTCAGGTTCATCCTGGCAAGTAAGCTATTCATCCGGAAATGACAGGCAGTTTTTTTGATTTTGCTCAGGCTTGGTTTCGTTTCACTTCCATACATTGAGTAAGTTCTGCCAGATCTTCAAGTGCTGAGTCTTCACCAGTGTCTTTGGCTTGCATGTGCAGTTTTCGAGAAGACTAAAGTTGGAACTTGAAACCGACTCTGCGCATATATCGTCTGATCCATTTGATGTCTGAACACTTCTCGTTTGCGTGCAAGTCTGATCACGGGGATGTGTCTGTGTACCTTCGAAACTTGCCAGAGCCGCTGGAGGGTGTGCCTCAGTCTTTCCCTCGGGGTCCTATTTCGGAACTCCCTTCTAATATATATATATATTATAATATATCATATATCTTTGTGTCTGGTCATGTTCAAGTGCCCGCTTTAAGAATCTTTTAGATACGTTGAGGCTCTGAGAAGCCTTAAACTTGCCAGCTGTCAGCTGATCGCAATGTTCGCAATGTTTAATGTGTCGATTGTGTATGTTTGTGTCTGGCTTTGATCACACAACAGAAGTCCTTTGCCCTTGTTCCGACCATGCTCGCTTTGCGAGCCCGCAGTGTCTTCCGCGTAGCAGTCAGAGTGATGAGGCTACCTCCGGGACAACAGGCAATGGACGCCTAGCAATCTCTTACAGTACCAGTAGCATTCTGTCTCGCAGGAATTCACACAGAGAGAGGGTGAAACGCGAAAAGGGTTCATGGATTCATGAGACAACAACATGGACACAAAGAAAGCTGTGCATGGAATGAGACTCAAATGATATCATTCCCACCAGTGCCAGGACAAAGCTTATGAGTGGTCATACAGGTGATCTTCGTGATCTAGGTGGCCATGTGTAAGCATGTGAAAGCTTGAAGTTGGATGAAATGGTACTTTCAGTATGATATGACTTGAAATGTATGAAGTCTTGCGCATTTGCGAGAGAGCAACCAAAAGCAGCCCCTGTGATTTTAGGGTTGGGAGGGTCACTACCGAGCCCCCCCTTCTACGCCTTCTGGGTGGGGCTTCCCCAGGACAAGCTCACAAGCTTCTCAAGAAGAGGATTCTGTGGAGAAGGAGGTTTGTTCCCGCGAAGACGAAGGTTCCCAAATGCCAGGTGTTCAAAAAGTCAAGTCCCCAAGGCAATGTTTTCAAAACACTTAAATATTTGATAATTTTGCAGCCCCTGTGAACAAGAATTGCCCTGCTCTTTAAGATATTCTTTGGGTTTATGCTCATTGTATTTTTTGTCGAAGGTTCATTCAGATGTAGACTTCTCTCGTGGGCTGCATACCCCCTGCTCCGCATAAGCCTTACATGTGACGAAGGGTTTAGGAGGAGCAAAGCAAGCTTCTTAAGCGCAACGTTAATTTGATCAATTAGCTAGGTTGTAGATGTCTGGCAGTCCCGCTGATAGGAAACTTAACCAAAACTTACTGACCAAACCTGGTGTGGGGGAATCAAGGACCATGGTTGATATGTATGTATAATATTATTATTATATATATTTTGATATAAATATACCCTAAACGAAGCCTAGATATACCCTAAGCGAAACCTAAACAAACCCTAAGTAAACCCTAACCGACCTTGAATAAACCCTAAACCAACCCTAAGTAACCCCCAAACCAGCGTTGTTGAAACAAACCCCAAAACAAACCCTTACGAAACCATAATTCAACCCTAAACCAAACCTAAAGAAACCCTAAACCAACCATACATAAAACCTAAAAAAAACTGAATAAACCCTAAACCAACCCGCAAGCAAACCCTGACGAAACCCTAATTTCACCTTAAACCACACCACACCCAAAAAAAACCTAAACCAAGCCTAAATAAGCCGAAAACCAACACTAAATAAACCCAAAGTAGACCCTAAAACAAACCTTGACGAAACCCTACGTACTAACCCTAAATATAACTTTAACCAAGCCTGAATTTACCCTAAACCAAGCCTAAACAAACCCTTAACCAACCCTCGCGCAAACCCTGATGGAACCCTAACTCAACCTTAAACCAACCCTTAAGAAACCCTAAGCCAAGCCTAAATAAACCCCAAGCCAAGCCTAAATAAACCCCAAACCAACGCTAAGTAAACCCAAAATAGACCCTAAAACAAACCTTGACGAAACCCTACATTAGCCCTAAACCAACCCGAAATAAAACCTAAACCAAGCCTGAATATACCCTAAACCAAACCTGAATAAGCCCTAAACCAACCCTCGCGCAAACTCCGATGAAACCCCAACTCAACCTTAAACCAACCCTTAAGAAACCCCAAGCCAAGCCTAATGCTGGGGGAGCGCGCCGGAGAAGAATAAAGAGAGTGTAACGCTGGGGGCCCCATTTTTGCAGTGCTTTGTAATGTTTTTTGATAGTTGATGTTTGTTTATACTCATAACCTTTTCTTCTTGGTATTCTTCAATATCTTCTGTATTATTTGTTTTAGTTGCATTGCTATTGTTTTGTATTCAATTTGGTTCTGTAAAGTTAAAAAAAAACAAAGGGTGGAGGTAGGGCCCATATCCTCGGTTCCAAATAGTTTTCTTCTTTCACCAAAGCAGATTGTAAGTAGACCCATCGCAAGTAGCAACAAAACAGTGTTTGTATCTTCATATGATTATGAACAAAATCTATGTATATACAGTACACCCTTGCGTTTCAATACCCAAGAATGATTAATGACATAAACATGTGAACCTATATGTTAAACAGGTGCCCGTTTTGACATCACCATAGCCATTTTTCATGCAACTGTTATTTTTATTGCTTAGGTTTGGTGGTTTCTACAAGCAAAAATTGAAGTACAGCCTTGTCACATTGCAGGGGATGCAAGCAGTTGTAGTTGCAAAAGTCATATCAAAGGTAAAACCCTCACAAGGTTACTCAGGTTTGTCCCAGGATTCTCCAATGTGAATCAACATAGTTGGCATGAATCACAGGAGCCACAGATAAATAACACACATGTGAGGTCAGATTTCAATGGCTCTACCAAGTCTTGTAATCAAGTGCCAATTCCATCACAAACTGAGAGTGATCATGGAAAGGCATGGAGCAAATAACTCTTCTCACGTATACACAGTGCAAACCCATGTTTTCCACCGTTTTGGTGCACATGGAATATGTAAGATCACTCTTGCAAGCCAGCCATGCAAGCAAACTGTGAACCTATCAATAGTGTCACATCCAATCTCCACACACAAGCTGCACCAGCAAAGAGCAGACATATGCATTACACAGATCATCATGGTTTGTCAAAGTGCATATGTCCATTGTTGGCAATAGCCTGCAGGGCAGTTAGTGGTATTGTGCTATTTTCATGCTGTGCTATGCAAATGTTTTCCAGCCAGCATGAAAAGAATATGGAAAGAGAATGCTGAAATCAAACTCTGAGTGAATGCACTGATCAACCAAGTTGGTTAGCCTGTGGACAGTGTAATCAAACAGAAAATACCTCCAAGGATATGGATTGATACAGCCATGGCAAGGAGCAGCTCTACCATAACAGTGAAACGGGACGATTGCAAAAACTTATGCTAACACCTTCTTACCAATGAACAAATACTGGGTTTTTACGCATTTTCTGAAAGATACTATCAGGTTAAGATACTAGCAAGGGTGACCCTAGCTAGCTATCTTTTGAATCATCATGCAATATTCAATATAAGTAGTAATCATTGCACTATCTCATGGGTTGCCATCTTGTGTTTGTTGTATTGATAAGTTGCAGCACTCTTGGTGGCTCTATTTGAAATCAAGCGTAAACTGACCGATATGTAGAGGTGGTCTACCCAAAGACCTCAATGAGAGTATATTGGCCAAGCCAATGATGAAAAGTATCTGATAGGTGCTTGCTTCTTGGGACGACTGTAGATGGTTGTTCAAGTTTACTTATCCAAATAAATATGGAATGTAGTATTCTTGTAAATAGATGATGGTTGTTGTGAAAATATAATACATATATACTGTATAGACATGCATATATATATGTGTGTGTGTGTTACTCTTCATACTGTTTCTTCTCTTGCCATTCTTGAATATCATGTGATGACCCTTGTAGTTGGACAACATGGTCCCAAGACGTAGTGTCATGCTTTTTGTTACTTAGCATGTCCTTGCTACGCACTGAAGAAAAACATGTCATAAACACATGATGGAAAGGCCTCATCCAAGATGAGATGGGCTGTAGTTAGCATTAGTCTAAAGATAATAAGTCTGCAACATTGTTAAAACTTTTTTTTACCGATGATGGCGATTTCGTTTAGTAAGCAGCGCATAGACCGTTCAGCCAGACTGTCCGGAGCGACGTCCGGCTAGATGGTCCGGCAAGACGGTCAGTCAAACTGTCCCGGTTGGAACTTCTGGTTAGAATCAACGGAATTGATTCTGGCCAGTCAATCTGGTCAGATAGTAAATTGACGATCGTAAAGAAAACTAAGTCTTCAGGTCTCTCCGAAGTAGCAGCCTTTGGCAAAAAAAAACGAAAAGAAAGCACATGCTTTTTTTCTGACCCCCCTACAGACCTTTGGAAAGATTAAGCGGTTCAAAGAGAGAAACTATTACAATATTCGGTGCCAATTTAGTAGTGAACCTTATAGAAAAGTGAAGATAGATAAAATGTTAGACAAGTTGAAAAGGAAAGGAGACTCGAAATAAGGAAAAAACATAATAAAGTCAATATTGTATACTATATGAATATTATATATACGTATATTATATATTAATTTAAATAACATTGTTCCATCATATTATGGTGTGAGATATTGCAAGACGTGCAAAACAATCCACACACATGTCTCATCATGTCTCATCTTACGTTTTGCTGTATTTCCAGAAACGTGGCAAAATGGGACCCCCGTGGCGTGACTTTCTGTAAATAAACCCCAGACCAACGCTAAGTAAACCCAAAATAGACCCCAAACATCCCTAAATCAAACCTAAACCAAGCCTGAATATAACCAAAATAAACCCTAAACCAACCCTCGCACAAACCCTGATGAAACCCTAACTTAACCTTAAACCAACCCTTAAGAAACCCTAAGCCACACCTAAATAAATCCCAAACCAACGCTAAGTAAACCCGAAAAACCAAAATGGGCCACTGGGCGCGCCGGATGGCAGTCACCCCTGGCCCCTAGTGGGGCCGTGGGGTGGGGGGTGACTGAGTCCGACGTGGGGGACTCAGGTGGTCTGACTCTGCTAGTGGGTGACCGATTCCGTCTAGTCTCCTGTCATGTGCCGGGAGGCTTGCAGGGGGGGAGGTACAGTAGTGACCTCACCCCCCATGACATCAGGGTGGGGAAGTAGTGACCCCCCCAAGCCACAATCACCAGGGACAGAATTTGGTGCACTATCGCATTTGCCAACTCTGACCAACTCTGCAACACCTCCCAGAGGTGGAGTCAACGGACGAAAAATGAATCTGTTTTGTCTTGTGCTGGCCAAAATCGTCTTTGACCTCGGTCCGCGCAAGAAGACATACGAAGCACGACATGGCATGTGAAACACACAACATGCCATGCCCGGTACCTCTGCGCAGAGCCAACAACAAATTGTCAAAGCAATCCACAAACATGAGATCTATGACAAGTGGCGATGGGCGATGTACTGTACCAACTGGAGCCTGACATTGCAGAGCAAAATCTTGAGGCCCAGGGGTACGGGACGAAAGCTAGCTTGCACAAATATGAAAACACAATGATGCTGAGGATGCGGATGCTGCCAAATTTGCTGCAGGTGGCGACATGCCGACGGTGAGAGGGACTTCAGCTAGCAGAAGCTAGCTTTCATGACTATCTTTCAGGTGCTACTTGGATACATCCTGGATGCCCAATAATAACTGTGAAAATTTAATAGTATGAGATAGTATGAGTATGAGTAATATGCCAGTTTTCTCCTTTCTCTGTGCCTTTTTCTCGGACGCATCCGTGTCGTCATCATCATCCCGGTCACTGTCTCGAGATTTTGGGACTTCCTGGCAATCCGATTCCAACGAAGCCCAATCAGTCTCAGTCAGTGTCCTTGAGACTTGATCAATGCGGTCTGTCAAATCTGTCAACAAATACTTTTTGGATCTTCTTGGATCTTCTTGGATCTTCTTGGATCTTCTTGGATCTTCTTGGATCTTCTTGGATCTTCTTGGCTTCAAGGCCTCCTTGGTGTCATCATCCGGGGAGGATTCCTGGATCAGATTGAACTCCGTGAAAGACATGGACACACGGACACACGCTCACGCAAACACAATACAAATGTATACAAATGTTTAATGTAACTAGTCAAACACGTTCTTGGGGGCTTGGAGTCTTACAGTAGTTGAATTGCATTGATGGGCATTGGTGGGCATTGGCAGTCATTCTGTTCTCCTTCGTTGGAGCTGTTGAAAAGAACGTAGCGCTCCCTCTTTCAATGAAGGACAAGAGCTCTTCCACGGAGATGTTGCCTCAGCTATTCCACTGGGTTGCTCCAGTCACTAGACATCAATACACTGAGCCAACTTTAACTGTCCAAATCTCCAAGCTGATCAAGCTGTAGGTACTGTAGGTACGAGGACTGCAGTTGCGCGATGCTACGTCTACGTGCTTCGGAGATTGTCAAATCTGTCGATTTTGTGAAACTTCAGTTCTTCAGTTGATGTCCTCAATGTCCTCATCTATCATCTCTTGGGCACCCGGCCAGTGCGGTCACCATCTAGTGCAGCTGCCAGATTTTCAACATCGACGTCGCTGATCACAGCAGTGCTAATCCGCAACTCCTTCCGGATAAGCTTCTTCAACTCAGTCCTGAAGCAACTCTGAAAAGGATTGAAAAGGGTATTTAGTCTCTGGGTGTCTCTGGACTATACAAAGATTCCAAGCCATTCCAAGCCGCTTCCATTACAGTACTTTTTCCAGTTGCAGGCTTGTGTCCCGGCTTGTCTTGACCCCCTTGTCGAAGTCTTCAACCGGACAATTCATCAAATATGCCAAGTATTCATAAATATTCCACTTACAAGTCTCAAATGCTTGGGACAAACCATACAGTAACAATGTTGCCAAACAAGTGCCTCGTAGACTTGCAAGTCATTTCGGGGGAGCACTATGCTAAGCTATGGGTTCCGAATGCTCTTCGGAAAACTTCGGAATGTTCGTAATTTGAGGAAACAGAGAATGCAAACACATGCCACTTTATCATACGTTATCTTCAGTTTCAGGAATGAAACATCTGTTTACTGTAGAATATATCCTAACATATCCTAACCACGGATTTTGAGCTCGGCAATGCTGGGCATGCTTTGCCGATGAGTCTCGAAGTTAGAGTGCCATTGCGATCTGTGTCCTTAAGCATTTGGGTTTGCGCGGCAGCTGCATGTGCATGAATTTAAAGCTTTGGAAAGCACTTCCAGTGCCAAGCAAGGAGCATACTTTCCAAAAATCTTCCGCAATGAAACCTCGTGTCATCTCGTGTCCAACGAATCTCTCCCGTTGCTCTGTTGCATAATGCACGCTTCCGGTCCCGCTCACGTCCAGCTAGGGCTTCTTCAAAGAAAACATGCTCTACAACATGGCGCTACAAAATGAGTCAAAATGCTACAAAAACGAAGGATCCACATTTGCCACATTTCGGCTTTTCATTTCAATGGAACGAATGACGAGCACCACCTGCCATCCATCTATATCCTTTGGATTTACCGCTATCTACCTAATCTGCTCGTCTTGGTCATCTTGGCTCATTTTATCTGCCAAGCAGCACCGCGGGTTGCCGACTGAAGCTGCGACTGCATTCTCCTTGCCACCTGGCAACGGACAATTCAGAGGCGTATAACTTCCGAGATTTCTAAGGCTCTGAAAGATTCAAAAAGTGTCAAACTCGGAGGTCTGATTACTGCAAGAAAAAACAGCAAGCTGGTCCGCTCCTCCTCGCTGATCTTTGCTGCTTGTGGTGCTCGTTTCTTTTTGGGCCTGCGGTCGCAACATCTTCTTGCCGGTGTTATCTTTTTAATGAAAGACATTCACAATTGCTCAAGTTCCAAGACTAAGCGTATTATATCAATTTCAGAATATTTCAGATATGATATCACATACATATTAAGACTCAATAGATAATTTCTATATATTTCTATGACAGGCCATCCCGTGGCTCCTCCTGGTCCCCTTCTCATCCCAGGTTTCTCCTGCCGGTCTTTGAATTTGCTGTGGCGGCACGTTGCTGCTCTTCTGGATGTGGAGGGAGCCAACCGTTCCAATCCTCTGGCACGACAGAGGTGTGGTCATTGCCTCGGCTAAGTGTTGAAAATGATTTTGAAAAATCAAACGTGGTCATTTATGTAATTTGTCAGGCGAGATTCAATTCTACGGACGTTTCATTCACGGCATGTTGGACTGGGAAAGAAATGACATGTGTATCATTGGCTTCAGAGGCGGCATGAGTCTGATAATGTCTATTAAGTCATGGTGCTTCAGAGTGCTTAATCTTGATGCACATTTCTACAATGTCAAATGCTAGTGACTTTACCTTCGATGGACGGCTTGAAGGGCGTGCAAATCGCAAAAGGCGTTGCACATCAAGGGGAGGTGCGAGCTTTAGCATGAAAGGTTACTAAACTATGCCATGACCGGTGATGCGGTACAATCCTAAACCAGCCAAACACACTTCCATAATCTTCAATATAATCTTTGAAAGATGTCTGAAAATGATGCTGCTAGACTTCCTGCAAATCATCACGAGTTTAGGCACCCTGCCTGGAACGACAAATGCAAAGGCATGTAGCTCTGCGTCAGGCACCCAGGAGTGACAGAGATCTGGCTCGAGACTGGGAATGCCTCACAACACCGGTCGACCGCAGCACTCACTGTGAATGACCATATCAACCAGGCACGATGACATCCGGGGACCGTCTCATATGTTGTGAAAATTCGTGAAACAGGTCGTGAAACATGTCGTGAAACATGTCGTGACACATGGACTTGTGCAGTTTTGGATGATGTTTGATGCATTTCCCCGTCAGCAATTGACAGCAGAAAGCTACAAGGCCGAGGTCTCCCTCTCAATATGCCCCATTGCTAGTGTGCTCCCGCCTCGATATGGCAAGCGCCTGAAGCCCAAGTGGGGCTGATAACCTACAGCGCAGGTCATTGCGTGCTTTGCGCTGTGAGATTCTTCGCACGACTCGAGATTGATAGGGTTGGAAAGAGATAGACTATACAGGCTGATAGATCTGATAGAGATAGTCTACTGGGCGGCCTGCCTAGGATAATCTAAGTCAAAGAGCTGTGATAGGTGCTCGGCCATGGCAGGTCGCAGTCATCTGGGAATGGGTAGAGGGGCCGGATGCGCGGATCGACACCAGGCTCTCCGAAAATCATGGCTCGGTGGCAAGTGTGGCTCTGAGAAGCAGCCAGCCTAGCTGCAGTCTTTTCTGGTACCTACTACAGGTGATGGCATTGGACAAAAAGCACAAGGGTTCTAGTTCTCCCTGGTGTCTTTCTGCAAGAAAGCCTGTCCAACTGTTGTTTGTGACAAATGTGACCCCTCACTTTGACATGCCTCGAACACGTTAAAAAATATAATTCTAAGTGGTCGGAGGAATCACTTCACGACACATCATCATACAGCCGCTCCATCTGGGCTCGCTTGTTTGTGTCAAGCTGTTGAGTTCTTGTTTTCTGGCATGTCTATCTAGATGTCTATGCATGTCTGTCACTTTTGTCGCACCTACAATGATTCATCCCAAAAGGCACAAAAAGTTACAATTCTTGCCGCCTGGCATGTGCTAGCTGCAACTGCCAAACAAAACTGGCTGCATCTTGGCGGAACACAATGCCATAAGCAGCTATGTTTAAATGCACTGCAACGGCATTCCAAGAAATTGATTTAAAATGATTTAGTGGCTTGTTGCAAACTCGGCCCATCTGTGCAGTAACTACTTGACTGGAATTCTAGAATTGCACATTCTGTTGGCCATTCGTGCCACACTGAAGCATCAGCAATGTCTGCTTTGTCCTGACATGAGTGGATTTCAAGTCAGCTAAGTCCGCTCAGTCAGTCAGGTGTACTTTTTCCTTTTGAGATAGGCATTGACCGTCATGGTGATTGGCTCATGAGTGAAGTCCTCAGCCATTCTGCAAGCATCACAACGTAGATGTTGGCTGAATCATAGGCAACCACGAGTATGGCTCAGAATTCAACAGAGCACTCCGTGGCAGTTGGCAGTGTGGCAAAGGGAGCTGCTTTGTTTGTCCCCTACACATAGAGCATTCTCAAGGCAGCGGCTTTTCCCACTCTCGCCGTTTTGAGATGCCTCCGTCCCACTACCCACACAATTTCGAAGATTCAAAGATCGCAGGAGAACCAATTGAAAATGATTGAAATCAGTTGCTAATATCTGTCAATGCAGCAATTCCCAGCCCAGCATTTGGCGCACCATTCTTGCGAGTGGCGTCCAGCATTTGCCTGGCACGAGCCTAAGTGATACGAGGAACGAGTCATCATGGCCCTGGCAACGTAACAGCAGCATGGACGATAACCGACCTTTTGCAGTGCGAAATATTTATGAGGCCGAACACTCTGGTATTTATCTAATGTCTACTTTTGTTTATCATTAATATATACACAATACATCATTATACCACATAATGTGTTGCGCAATGTTGCACATGTGTATTTACATATACCTCAACGGTACATGTCTCCTTGAGACGGGAACGTGCAATTCACTGCTTTGGCGTCGCTCATCTCGGAGAAGTGACTGCTGCGCCTGAGTCCAGAGAGACGCTCACCATATCTCGTCATGTTGCGACTTGGCCTATTTGGGCTTCCATTATATTCCTAAAAAGGTCCTTCATCATCATCATCATCATCATCATATTCATCATATTCATCATATTCATCATATTCATCCCAGAGAGTTTCCATTTCTCAGGTCTGTCTCAGTGTATGTCCAGGTTCCTATGTTATGTTGCTTCTGTTGTTTCTGTGGCTCAAATGCTGGGGATATCACTGCCTCAGTCCATCGACATATATCGAAATAAATCGCGCAGGCTCGCCACACGTCTGAGATATTTGTTGACTCGCATTGCTTCCTCGCTATTCACTTGCTTTAAAGATCTTTACGAATCATGGAATAATTTATCATAGCGAATAATATCGAATAATCATAGCCCATTTACAAACATCCAGCCCTCTGGGTTTCGTTCAAGTACTTGCGCCATCGTTTCTTCTAGTTCCTCTCCATAGTCCTCCAATCGGCGCCTTCGGCCGGTGAACATCCATGTCACCAGGCCATCCGAGACACTGGTGACATATGATGTGACCATGATTCATGAATGATTCATGAATGATTCATGAATGATTCATGAATGATTCATGAATGTCTGTTCCAGATTTTGTTTGCCTTTGCATCATGTTTGAAATGGTCGGGTCGAGTTAGGCCGACTTGGGTCAGGTCAGTGACAAGCCTCATCTCGCTCAGTTTCCGCAATGATGCGCGGTGCCTGGCCTTAGCGACTTTCAGCAATCAAAACATCAAAACTTGATCAGGAATGTCCAATGTTGATCGTTCATGTCATACCCCAGTAGCAACTAATGAGCTCAAAGCGTAATGATGACGACACCACAACTCGGCATATAATATATATATACTGTAGCCAAAACCATTTCTGGGCAACTGTCCTCAGAGCGTCGTAGTGCGGCTTCCCGCATTTCTAATGCCCTGCAAGGGAAGATCAAAATCAAATGCAATAGCAACCAGTACCCGGAAATCAGATGACATCAGATCAACAATTCCCAACAGTTTCTGTCACCAATCTGATGCAGTCTGCCTTTCGCGTTGCTCCAGGCTGTAGCGGGCTTGCTCTACCTGCAATCTCTTGCTTTAGATTCACTGAACGGACCATATGTATCTATATGTAATATGCATAGATATGTCACATGCATATTGAATTATATAGATATAGAAAGATATAGATACATGATGAATCATGATGATATACGCATGTTTTCGTCTGTTTTGTGTTTATGTATCTGTACTGTGAACTGTACTGTAGTTGTTTATCTTTTAAGTAATATCTGCGGATTGTGTGCAGGATCTCAAGAGAAAGTAATGATTGCTGCACACAGTCAACCCTCAAGTTGAGCTTTTACCTACCCATAGCTCCAAGCCCATGCTTGGATCAATTTCGACAAAGGAATCTTGGCGGCCAAGCGTTTCTGGATTCTGGTTGTACACAAGTTCAAACGCTTTTAAGGTGACTCTCCAAACGGAAAAAGGCACTCGAAATCATTCGCGTCTGGTTGCAGAGAAGATTCTGCTGCCCTGCCTCTGCCCACGCATCGGCAAGATCCTTGGATGTCAACATTTGAAATCAGAACATTTCGGAAGCCCAGCATGGCTCACATAGCTCAAGAGAGGGGCCATGGGTGCTGCAGAGAGTCTAACTTGCTCCAGGCATTCTGGTCAGCAAGCCTCAAGGATTCCAGATTGCTTGCAAGCTTGCACCATCTTGCAACATTTAGACCGCCGTCTTGCTGTGGTGCCTTGTTAGAAAGGGAACGGACAGACTCAGAAACCAAAGGGAGCAAGCAGAACCATTACGACAGAAAGTAATCAAGCTGGCAGAAACCGGTGCAAACAAACAAATCAGATTGAGCACTACGAGTTGCACCTTCCACTTCTGAGCTTTCCAGCCATTCATCATCAGGCGGCTGAGGCCTTGGAGTATGCAGAGTTTGCAGAGTTACCTTCACAAAGGTCTTCGGTTTTCCATGTTTTCCTGAGCAATCCATAGCAATCCATAGCAATCCATAGCAGCTATAGCAATCCATAGCAATCCTGACAGCGTTAAAAACTTTTAAAAACTCAGGTGGTCGAATCCTGAAGGTCTCAGGACTCCCAGGGACAGGACGTTCGAATTCGCGCAGGAGCACTGAACGCGCTATGCACCTGAAGCGAGAGCACAGACAGTGGCAAATAGTGCAGACAGTGCACTGCAGACCTAGTGCACCGGGAGTAGAGAAACTGCACAAGACGCGTCGGCACTTGTGCATGGATTGCCACTGAAAAGAACTACAAAGAACCGCAAAAATATGCAAAAAGTAGTTTCTTTTCAGATGCTCTCGGATGCTCTCTGTCCGGGAAGGCCCTCAGGATCCGTGTTGAGTGAGAACAAGCGTGCGCTGCACAGCAGAGCGCCATTGCGGCTGGCTCTGCCAAAAACAGCAACTGGTGAAGCGCTGCAGAGATAGATCAGTTCCAAGAGGACTTACTGTTTTGATTTCCTTGAGTAGATAGAGGATGACAAAGGATGATAAAGTGATATTCCCCCTGGACCCTTGACTTGCAACAAGGCGTTGCCTAAGACGCTATTGTGAGGCTGTGCGATGAAATCTAAGAGTCATTAGATTGCGAGCTTTTCCTGCAACAGTGAAATCACGAAAACAGAATGTGAAAGCGTTGTGAAAGGATAATGAATGATAATGAGCAGGTTTTGATGACTCCCGAAAGACCTCAAGGGCCCGCAAGCATCCAGTGATACATGGGGCAGTGCCAGAAGCCCGAAAAGTCTGCAGATTTCAGGAAGAGATGTAGTAGGCATCCAGGTCTGGCCTCGCATGGAAAATGCCATAGTGCTGCCAGTGACACAAAGCAATGAAAGCCAAATGGGAAAACGTTATGTCTGAAAAAACACAACACAAACACTTTGGGCATCTTTGGACATAATTCAACTGACACTGGGGTGGAAGGCTGGTATTCCCCATTGCCAAGAGATATGACCGTCACCCAGTGGCACATTCCACCCCAGAAAGCAGAAGTTGGTCTGCAATGAATCAGAGCTACGAGAAGATACAGTAATTAAGGGTAAGATATTGCAAGCATTGATCGGCCACCAAGCGCACATAGCCACGTGGACTGGACATCGGATCGGATGTTGAGACCCGCAGTGCTGGATAATCCCAAAGGCCAGAAGGGTTCCATTCCCAATCCACGCGCCAGAAAGTGGATAGGTCAGCACAAGCTATAGACAACACAAACATGAGAATTTCAAAACGGATATCGACTTATACAACAACAAGATTAAATAGACTTCAAGCACAGCCTCGACAATAAAATTCTCCTGGTATCTCCTGGTCAAAATAGTGGTTTCACGGGCTGATCACTTGGGCAAGTGGAGGGACAAATAAAGCTGTGTGGTCCCAGACAAAATGCAGACAAACGACACCGAAATGATTACCAAAGGAACGAGGACATCTCGGACAAATACAGAGATGAATAGAGGCTAGGGACTAGCCGTGAGACACAAGGAGACAAAAGATGGCCAAAGGTTCGTCACAGATCTATACGAGATCTATATGAGAGATCTATCTATACCCATATATATATAATTATAACATATATATATATATACACA